AGCTCGGCTGGGCCTCACGTCGGCATCTCCGTGTACAATTCAATGATAACTTTGCCAAAGCGTCATCTAGCGCTAGTAATGCCTTTCCGAGTCACTTCAATACTAGAAGTTTATACGGAGGTATTATAGTGAAATTTTCCGAATCAAAACGTACATGTAATAGGTTAACGAAAGGGAAATGTTGCCCTTCCTCTGTAATGGATCTCTCTGGGTCTTTGAAAAAAGAAAAGGCCCGCGGCAATATAACAACACGCTGCCGACAAGTAATAAATTGAGAGCACCACGGAAATGACTTACTAGTGAAGTGCCAACTTCTAGCCAACGAGAACCGAAATTTCTGCTAGAATGCGCTTGAGGCATTGCTACGATGGCTAGATTCATGCAATGAATCCCCAGAATGAAGCCGCTATGAGCGTCTATCCTCCACAGATGATTTTTCTGCCGTTTGCACCATATTGTGGGCTACTGACGTAAACACTGAGACGTTCTGAACTATAGTGTTTATACAAAGACTGCAATGTAAGCTTTAGTTACTAACCATGACTGACCCAGAGTGGCGCTGTTCCGCTGTTGCGGTGGTGGACTGGCTGAGTTTATATCCCTCGTTCGGGGGTTTTCGCTTGATCTCCTTAACGTTCCGTCAGAAACGCTAGGGAGAAGCTGCTATTGGCGGTTTAAAGGACAAACTCAAACCATAAACCACTTTTAGGCCTTTGAGGAAGGCGATCTCGTTGAAACGTCAAGCCACTAGTAAAATTCTCCACCTAGCAACCTCGTTGGCAAAGGGATAGTATCACAATAAGACTTTCAGTGTTTTGAGCCGTGTTTCCTTCGCAATCCTAAATTCACATGTAGTTTTCAATCGTGTTCCTTATAAGATACGAACGTTAGGTGGATTAGTGCAAACAAATGTAACACTATGCTACAGCAGAACAGTTGTGTGAAAAAGATTTTGCAGTCTTACTCATGATCATCCCAACGAGATTGAACTGTTGGACGATCTACTCAGCGAACAACTGCGAGATTTGAAGGTGCTCATCCAAACCTCTGAATAATTACAATTTTCAAGTTTTGTTCCCCTTAGGAGTCGAAAGCACTGCAAAATACGATGTTGATAATCATGGGTGATCACGGAAATCGTGTGACGAGAATGAGCAGAACGTTTGCCGGAAAAATTGGTGAGCTCCCCACGTCTACCATTTTCTTAGTTTTTGTTTTTTTAGTACAGTTACACCTTCTATTCCTACTGGTCCAAAAAATCTCAACGTGGGTCTAGGAAGAATGGGATGCTTCGGGAGAGCAGGGGCTGTCATATTCTCAGAAAATCGAATGAACACAAAGAAATCGGGGAAGTTTCACGCCCTCCAACGCTAGGCTTGGAAATAGCGATTGACCAAGTACCCAATCTTCCTGCTTTTGCTTAGCCTGGAAATCTAGTACATATTCGAAAACACTTCCAAGAAAAGAATATAGATACCGGATCTGGAACATATGTCTATATGCATGCGCTGGCGGATGATTCTGAAAGTAAAGCAAATTGCGTAGCGGTGGAAAAGAACTACGAAAGAAAGCTGAAGATGCGTACATCTTATTTTTATCCGAATATAGAGGTATCATGGGCAGTATAAATCGT